ATTGCAGGAGGCTGCAAGCCCAGCCACTTATATTGCAATGGTGAATATGTATAATTTTGCTAAAGCGCACGTTTAACACACAAATGAGGATCGGGCTGTCATTATGGCACCATAAAAAAGTCAGCTGAAAATCATATTTATTTATAAACACCTCGCCTGTACAATGTGCATGTTTAATACAAAGGAAGTAAACAATTCCACAATCGATACTTTAATTACTGTTTTTTTTAACTACCCCCCGCGATTCTGTAGGGTACTTTATGAATTTATCGTTTTTTTCCCGTGCTCTCTTCCCTTTAGCAGGTGGGCTAAAACCCTTGGTGTTTTCTTCCTGTCTCCAGTGTGGGCGGAGCAGGCCGGAGGGCCAGGGTGAGAGAGCTTGCTAATGGCGCCACCTGCAGGACTCGACGAGAAGGACGTTCTCCCCCTCTGTAATCTTTCACAGGGCTCAAGGCTCATTTTAGGCTTATTGTAGCAACTCAATTAAAACGATTGAATGTTTGCGTCATCACAGAAAGACCCGAACATTTACGACAAATCCCAGAGTTTTCAGAATATTTTGATGCCGGCAAACGATGCTTAAGTAGCAGCGTTAAGATGGAGTGTCGAGTAGAGTGGGAACGCCTGGACTTTGCGGCTTCACATGGTCGGTTTTCTGAAAGGAATACATTTATTTATTTATTTATTTATTTATTTATTTATTTATTCATGTATGTATGTATGTATGTATGTATGTATTTATTTTATATTTTTGTGTTTTTTTTTTCGAGGTGGGGTTTCTCTATGCAGTCCTGGATGTTCTGGATTTCTCTCTGTAGACCAGACAGGCCTCGAACTCAAAGATCCACCTGCCTCTGCTTCCAGACTGCTGGGATTAAAGGCATTCACCACCACCGCCCAGCTGGAATAAATTATCTTTAAAATTTTATTTTATTTTTAATTATGTGTAAGTGTGGCGTCTGTGCATGTGTGAGTACAGATGGTCCTGGAGTCTCAGAAGAGAACCTGGAATCCCTTGGAGTTATAGGCAGTTGTGAGCTGCCAGACGTGGGTTCTGGGGACTGAACTCGGTTCCTCTGCAAGAACAGTATGTACTTGACCGCTGAGTCATCTCTCCACCCCTAATTTATCTTTGAAACAACGGGATAAAAGAGGCAATATTCCCAGACTATCACGTGGTCTAGGGCAGACTTTCAGAGTCAAAGAACACTTAGCATCCCAGATTCTAGTGGCTGAACACTTGTTAGGTGCCCGTGGGGGACTGGCAAAGCTGGGTGGCTGGAGCCAACTGAATGGTTCTCCAAGCCTGGTAGAACCGTTTTCCTGGAGCGGGTAAGTGTTCTCTGCTGAAGCTCAGCAACCTGAGCAGGCGCCTGAGGGCTAACTCAGAGATTAGAAATTTGATTATACGCGCTTGCAGAGATTAGCAGGCCGCTTTAGATCCAGAGAGCCCACGCTTTTCATTTCTCTGCAAATCACGTGGAAGCCATGATGGTTACCTGACTTCAAATTAAACCGACACACACACACACACACACACACACACACACACACACACACACACACGGTGCCCCAGTGCTGCACCCAGAATTTCCAATGAACATGTCTCACAGCGCCTGATGCTGTACTAATTGTTCCGGGCTCTGGACTGTGTCGAGATCCAGCTGTGATCTTTTCCCTCCGTCCAGGGCATGGCTACATCTGCAGAGACCCACTCCTCGGGGCTAACGGCAGTGCAGAGCCTCGCCTGTGGGTTTCTGAATTCAGTGTGGACCGATGGCAAACAGCAAACAGGCACGCTTGATGCAAGTGGGAGAAAGATATTCCTTCCCCCTCCTTTTTATACAAGTAGTGGGTGAAAGGATTGCTCTTTTCCATGTGAATTTGAAACCAAGTAAATACGCTATTTTTTTTAAAAAAAATGTTAAGGTGCTAGAGAGATAGATGGCTCATCAGTTGAGATCATGGACTGTTCTTGCAAGGGATCCAAGTTCAATCTTCAGCACCCACATCAGGTAGCCCCTAACTGTACCTCCAGTTCTAGATGATGGGACACCTTCAGCGGTCCACTGCACTGGCACCGGCACACACATAATATAATTAAACAATAACAGAAGTCATTTGAAATAAATAAAAACTTCAAAGTTAAGCATATAGCACTGACTTTATGCTCTAGACTCCAGAAAAATCACACTGAATGTAAACCGTCACCAAAGAAAAAGAAGGGACAACTTATGGAGAAAAAACAGGGCATATTTTATTTGTTGGAGAAGAAGCAAGATGAACTAGCCTAGCCTCACAGGAGCACGGTTTTGGAAGTTTATCTCCAGCGATTGATAGCCCTCCTTCCTTTCCTTTCTTGTAACAGCCATCAAAAAATTCACGTCAGTTCTGTTTTGCTAAAACAAAGCAAATTCCTAGCAGTTGTTAAATTCTGGGAGACCATGAGTGGATTCCATTTTACATGGTGATGAGTTAGTGCCAAACAGCCACAGTGGCTGTTATGGACTCGTACAGTGATAGCATTCATTCAGAACATCTCTTGTGCGGGGACTTCTGGAAGTCTACGGAGGAGGGCTGGTGGAGCGCCATCAGTCTGGGACACAGTCTTGAAGCAGTGTTTATTCGCCTATTTGTTGGACAGGCCGGTTGTTCTTCTCCAAGGGCAGCATGAGGCCAGGTCATCCAAAGGAGCTGGAAGCGCAGTCTTGCCACCCCTTTGGAAGGGCCACTGTGACGACATGTGGCTGCCCACCGTGGCCATCCCTGCTCTCTCCTTTGTGATGGCCACCCTCAACAGGTGGGTACTATTCAGTCCCTGTTTGTACTTTCATGGTGGGCTTTACTGAGACCTCCCACATTGTAGGTGCTTGCTAGGGCCGAACGCTATTCACACACTGTCACAATAGGAGCGTGTGCCCAACCCTTCCTGAGGGTCACCTCACAGCGCCTCATTTTGGCTATAATTAGAAAGAAAAGGGGTCGCTCTACTTATCTTTATTTATTTTTTTAAAATTTATTTATTTTATATGCATTGGTGTTTTTACCTTCATATATGTCCGTGAGAGGGTGTTGGATCTCGGGGAACTGGAGTCACAGACAGTTGTGAGCTGCCATGTGGGTGCTGGGAATCGAACCCTGGTCCTCTGGAAGAGCAGTCAGTGCTCTTAATCACTGAGCCATGCCCCTCTACTTATCTTTAGAAGATGGCCAGGAAGATTCTTGCTTTAAAATGCTGGCTATGGTACAGTCCCGTGATAGAGCCCTTGCCTAGGGCACCAGAGGCCCTGGATTCCATCCCCAGCATGAGAGACAGAAGGAGAGGGAAAGAAAGAGGAGAAAATAAGATAAGGACACCATTGCCACTGAGTTGACAGTGCAGTCTTTACCATTCCAAGAAGGGGTGCTCACCATGCCACAGGGACCATCCAGGAGGCATTCGGCTTGGTCAGGAGGTGGGAGATGTGGGGTGAGCAAGGAAGGACAAACAAGGCCTTTATTACTGCCATAGTTGCTTCTCCCTCCTGGGCATTTCTTCTTCCCTCCCTCCCTCCCTCCCTCCCTCCCTCCCTCCCTCCCTCCCTCCCTCCCTCATTTCCTCCTTCCCTTCCTTCCTTTCTGAGACAGCATCTCTCTGTGTGACCCTGACTGTCCTGCAACTCACTCTGTAGACCAGGCTGGTCTTGAACTCAGAGATTCACCTGCCTCTGCCTCCCGAGTACTAAGTGGACCAATGCCAGTTGGCCAAGATTTCTTTCTAGGTGTCTGGCTGCTGGTCATGGAGAGGTCACGGCAGAGCAGGGGTCCTAAGTGAGAGTCTAACAAAGGCAGCGGTCACATGTGGACTCTGCTGGGAGGACTAGTTTGCACAGGGCAAGCATGGTCAGTGGAGAGTTTCTTTTTCTCTCTAGGGATTGGTTTGCCATGGGTGGGGTTGTCCCTTGGAGTCAGCAAGGCCTCTGACGTTGAAGCACCCGAGCAAAGAACGTAAAAGCTTAGTGAGTATCGACCTCGATGTCTGAACACCTCTCGCTGTGTGACGCTCAGGCCGAGCTCAGGCCCCTCTCAGTCCGTGTGCGTTTCCGGGCATCTGGCTTCCGGCATCAGTCACTGGAGCTGGCTCGACAAGGGCTGAACGAGGGTTTCAGACAGAAGACTCCTAAGACAAAAGGTCTGGCTTGCCACCCTCCCGTGTCCTGAGAGCACCGGGCTTTCATGTGTTCACAAGCACAATGGCCCCCCACAAAGGTACACCTGACCCTGGAGCGAGTGTCCTCCTAGCCGCGGGTCTGCTATGCTCTGGGCACAGCTCCCTTCCAGGTGGTTGGCTCCAGCAGGGGTGGGCAGCCTTTCCTACAAGCCCAGGGAGGAAGCGGCCATGCTGCTGACTCACAGGGGCCGGAGACACACCTTGGAAACCACTCAGACCTTTTAGTCTGACTCTGGTTTTGGATACTTTCTGACAACAACTCGCGTGCCGCTGACCATGTGCTCCTCACAGACAACCAGGAGACAGGATTTTCCTAATAGAAAAAGTGTAACGTTTATTTACACATGTGCATGTGGTGCCTATGGAGGCTACAGGATGTAGTAAGGCTGCTTGTTTGTCCCGGCTGCCCAGAACCGAAATAATCACACAGAAACTGTATTAATTAAATCAAAATAATCACACAGAAATGTATTAATTAAATCACTGCTTGGCCTATTAGCTCTAACTTCTTATTGGCTCGCTCTTACATTTTAATTTAATCTATTTTTAGTAATCTGTGTAATGCCATGTGGCTGTGGATTACCGGATAAAGTTCTGTCTGGCTCTAGTGGGGGGCTACATGGCTTCTCTCTGGCTCCGCCCTTCTTTTCCCCAGCATTCAGTTTAGTTTTCCCCACCTAGCTCTGTTCCCCTATAGCTCTGCTATTAACCAATGGTAATCACAGCATACAGAAGGAAATCCCACATCACCAAGAGGGCCCTAGATCCCCTGAACTGGAGTTAGGGTTGGTTGTGAGTGCTGGGAATTGAACCCAGGTCCTCTGCAATAGCAGACAGTGCTCTTAACTGCCTGTTCATCTCTCCAGCTCCAATAACAGAGATGGTTTTATTTCCAATTCCATTTCAGAGTGAACTTAAGGCTTGTGAGTCTGTACCTCCCTGGGTCACTTGAGAGATGGAGGGGGCTGGATGTGTGTATCTCCAGCATGCTGTGCCTCGCACATGGTGGCCTCTGCAGAAAGACAACGAAGCAGAGAAGAACCCAAGTGCCAAGGCTGTGGTTTCAACGCAAAACACCCTCAGGCTCCAAAAGCAGATACTGTTGCAGGGTCTCAGGTAAGGGCAGCTGGGGCACAAGGTGAAAGCACTTCTTGCCGAAGAGTTTTCGGATGGTGCTGCGGCAGAGGTGCTGCAGGCAGCGCGGGGTGTGTGCCAAGGCGAAGAAGGACCTGTAGAAAGGCTCATGCGTCTAGAAGGGAAGGAGAGGAAGAGAAGGTGAGGCAGTGTCTGGAGCTAACAGACAGTCTTCCCTGCAGGAACACTGAGGGCTCATGCTATCCTGTGGCTCACAGGGGCCAGGCACACACCACAGAGGGCAAGCACTGTCACCTGAGACCTGGCCTACACTCCAGGGGTTGACATGGTTTTCCAAAGTGAAGCTCCCACCGTGTCAGAGGGACACAGCTGGGGATGGTTTCCTCCAATTCCTTAATGTCCTGCCTCTGGCACAGCAGTCCTGAAGCTCCAGGGGTGGCCCCCACCAATCCGAAGTGGGTCAGGCACGTTGTCTCTCTGCAGCAATGGGCTCAGGAGCCCTGCCAAAGTCCACGAGCTCAATGGCTGTGCTAGGCACTCACTAACACATGCCATGAGAGCCCCGAGAACGTTCTCTGGGAGCTTCTGGAAGTGAGTATTGTCCCCCTTTGTGATCCTTGCCTGAGGATTCTGCCACGTGAGGATGTATGTTGTGCTTACAAGAGTGCAGGTCACATGTTATGATCTGTATCTCCCCTACCCATGGTGGGGGAGGGGGAGAGGGACGGACAGGGACATGCCTGGATAAAGAGCTGGAACCAGAGGCTTTCCTGCCCCCTCCCTTTCTTGCACGATGGCTCCTTGCGCCCCAGCGCTCTTTAAGCCGTCATGGGGTGGCTGTTTGCTCCTCATGGCCGATCGCACTTCACAGTTGTCTCCTGCTGTTCACAGAAGACTGGTTCCACAACTGCTGAGGATAACCTTCACGGATGGGTCAGTCTCTTATGCTAGACATATACAATCCTCTAGATTACCCACAATGCAACAGTGTAAATGCTACCTAGAGGGGTAGTGGCATGCTGTGATGTTTAGAGTATAAGGACAAGTGAAGAAGGTCTGTGGTGGCTGGAGAGATGGTTCAGTGGTTAAGAGCATTGCCTGCTCTTCCAAAGGTCCTGAGTTCAATTCCCGGCAACCACAACCATCTGTAATGAGGTCTGGTGCCCTCTTCTGGCCTGCAGACATACACACAGACGGAATGTTGTACACATTAAAAAAAAAAAAAAGAAGGTGTGTGTATTGGGGGGGATACCCAATTCACACCCAATATTTTGGACATATGGTTTGTGGACTCTATAGGGGCGGTGCCCTCAGATCAATGCCCAACCTCCCTGCCTTCCTTCTTAAGTCTCACTTCCTGGGTTTGGAGGTACAACTCCAGACAGAGGCGGGAGAGGGACTGAGTTCTGGAGCATGGGGTGGAGGAAGGGCCACTTCTCACCTGGTATACTTCTTCAGGGACCGCCTCCAGCCAGGACTCGGAAACACGCAGCTGAGCGTAGGAGTTGAACAAGACTTCAACAACAGCGGGCACCTGTGCACAGGTCCTCAGCACCTGGGGGGAAGTGGGAGGCACGGTGCAGGGCGACGGGCTTGAGGTGCAAGGGGGAGACCCCCAGGAGATGCAGGCAGGCACGTTCTGGCCTTTTATTCTATGGCTCCCTGACTCTGTGACCTCAAAGGCCGGAGTCACACCACACAGAGTCAGGGAAGGAACCCACCAGAAGGCAGTGGTTCTTCAGGGAAGCCCATGTCCCCCGGATGGCTATCTGTGGAGTCAGGGCGGGGCTTAGGAGTCAGGTTTGGGGCGGGTAGTCTGGCGGGGATGCTTATGGGTGACTGTTTTCTGCCTCTGCAGAGCTGCTCAGAGCAAAGGAAAGCAGTTCTGGGAGCAGCGTGGCCTGAGGATTGTATTCCCAATTCCCACCGCAATTTTTTTAGTGTCAGAAAAGTAAGACTAGAGGGGGAAGAGTTGTTTTGTTGTTGAGTTTCCACTTGGTGTGGTCCTTGCATTTCCCACAGAGAAAATATTCTTTTTATTTACTTTTAAATATTTAGTTTTATTTTGACTGTGTGTCTGTGTCTACGTGGGAATATGTGCATATTTTAGCCGGGCAGTGATGGAACACATCTTTAATTCTAGCTCTTGAGAGGTAGAGGCAGGAGATCTCTGTGAGTTCAAGGCCAGCCTGGTCTACATAGTGAGCGGCAGGACAGCCAGGGCTACACAATGAGGCCCTGTCTCAAAAAAAAAAAAAAGATTTATTTTTACTTATGTATATGTGTGTACTTAGATGGGCCAATGTGCCCATGTGCATGTTTGAGGAACCCAGAAGCATGCATCTGATGGCCTGGAGGGGGGCTACAGGGGATTGTGAGGAGTCCAGTGTGGGAGCTGGGAACCGAACCTGGGTCCTCTTGAAGAATAGCAAGCACTATTTTCTGGATAGATAAGCATGCTAATTTTCACTTGTTTTTGGAGACAGTATTTCATTATAAGAGCCTCCACGCCTGACTTTTCTGTTAAATTAGATTTTTTAAAAATGATTTATTTATTTTATATACATTAGTGTTTTGCCTGCATGTGTGTCCTGTGAGGGTGTTGGATCCTCTGGAACTGGAGTTATAGATAGCTGTGAGCTGCCATGTGGGTGCTGGGAATTGAACCCGTGTCCTCTAAAAGAGCAGCCAGTGCTTTTAACTACTGAACCACCTCTCCAGTCTTTCTGTTAGCATTTTAACACATAAAATTTCAATACTCTTAGTTATTGGGAAGAATTTAAGAAGTAAACAATTATTGGAATTAAGAAGACATAATAATCATTTAAAGTTTTTGTTTGTTTGTTTTGTTTGATTTTTTCCAAATAGGGTTTCTCAGTGTAGCCTTGGCTGTTCTAGAACTCACTCTGTAGACCAGGCTGGCCTTGAACTCACAGAGATCCACCTGCCTCTGCCTCCCACGTGCTGGGATTAAAGGCGTGCACCACCACACCTGGCCCCCTTTAGAGTATATTTTTAGGATTCAAATCCAGGCCTCAAAACAGGCAAAGGCCGTGCTGTGGAGCTACACGTCAAGCAGGTGACAACCCTTGCCTTTGACACTGCCCAAGCCTGGCACTTAGTTACAGGTGACAATTTCACGTTTTCAATTTCTTCTACAGTTATTAGCATATTTTATTCTATGACCTATAATTTCTGGGTAAACAATCTCCATTTTAGAGAGATGTAGTGAAGCGATGTGGGAGGCCACGGACGGGGCAAGACTGAAGAATGCCTTCAGTCACACGCCCTGTAAGTAGTCCGCTCTGAAACCCGGGCGCAGGGGGGTTTCAGGCATCTGAGTGGAGGAGCCTGACATCACTGAGTACTGAGTGGTGAGGACAGAGACCCTTTCCAGAGTCCAGGGAGAGGCAGCAGGCAGTGGTCCACACTCAGGTGGTAGTCGTTGGCAAGGAAAGAGAACTCCATGTTTTCTCATTCTCTTGAGGGCTCTTCCTTAGCCTGCTGGCCTGTTTTCTCATCTCCATTTTTTTTCCCCAGAGAGGGATGCCCCTCTGTTCATTCCTGTCCCCATTTCTCCTCTCCTATCTCTCATCCAGTCTCCTGGCTCTCGATGCCGTCCCATGCGGCTGGTCCCCAGGTTATTTGAATCTCTTGAACTCTGGGCTTGAATATCCAGTTTTCTTCAGGTTCCTTCTTTGTTGCGTCCTAGACCGGGTGCGCTGAATTCTTCAGTTTCCCGGGTCACACAGCCGCTGCCCTGGCCCCTGTCATTGGCCATCTTAGCTGATGACACACCTGTCCTCCTGACACTCAGGCTGGAAGCCTCGGGACCGTCTTTGATTTCCATTACTTTCATTGTCTACGTTCAGTCGATGCAGAAGCCCCCACAGCTCTGCCTTCAAGGTTCATTGTAAATCGGAGTGCCACCCTAGTCTACGCGGTGCCCCTCATGTGGGCCCCTGGGTCAGCATCCCAACTTGCCCTCCTCTTTTGTTCTCTTCCTTGTGGCAGTGCGGCGGGTCTAGTGAAACACTAGTCAGCTGCAGCCATTGCTCTGCAGACATCCCCAACGGTCAAAGTCACAACAGTGTTCCTTAGAGTGTCCCTTTCGAGCCTCCCACCCTCGTCACCTCCGAACACCTCCCTCCACCATGGTCCCCAGCTATTCTGCATGCAGCTCAGGTTTCTCCAGTCTCAGGCCGCAGACTGACTTGCTCATTTGAATTACGTGTCCCCGGATCTGTGTGCACCCGTCCTCAGACCTGCACAGCTGACTTCCTCATTTCTTTGAAGTTTTTGTTCAAAGGCCACCAACCTTAACTCCCCACTCTGAACTCACTGCTACGTTCCACTCTGCCTCTTTCCCCCGTGAAAAACATCAGGATAAAACGGAAGTACTGGTGCCAACTCTCAGAACAATAACAATAAAGTAAAGCCAGGGAGCCCTGAGGGAAGGGTTCGAAGAGCTACATGCTGGCCCAAGATTAGTGGGTACAGCCTCATACAGAAGACATTGCTGAAGGGACATTTGCTAATCCCTGTTTGTCCTGCCTCAACTAATATCACCCCTGTTACTAACTCTGAGGCTGAGGATCATTATTTAAAAATACATTCAATTTTCTTAATTAAAAATAGCTGCATTTACTTATTTGTGTATGTGTGTGGGTGTCTACATGCCAGTGTGTGTGTGTGTGTGTGTGTGTGTGTGTGTGTGTGTGTGTGGTGGTCAGAAGACAACCCACTGGAAGTCAGTTTTCTCCTTCCACTTTATGTGTCTCAGGGGTGGAACCAAGGTCACCAGGCTTGTTGGCAAGAGCCTTTACCTGCTGAGAAACCTTGCTCATTTGAATTACGTGTCCCCGGATCCACGCAATTCTCCTAACTTTCCCCTTTTGTTCTGAGAGAGGATTTTGCGACCTCTCCTAGGCGAATCTCCAGTTTGCAGTTCCTTGCCTCAGTTTCCCAAACGTGGGATGGTGGGCATGTACCACTGTGCCTCCTTTAATTTATGCTCTTAAGAACATTCTTAATATGGACTGCTTTGCATTCTCCTAGTTCACGAAGGTGAGCATGCTCCCCTGGTAGCGCTCGGCAATCTCTGGATATGGGGACACTCTTCCGGAGAGACACTCTCTGTGCTGTTCCGGCTAACATCACCCTGGTCTTCTCAAGGCAACTGGTGTATTATGCTCACGGCAGAGAATGTCTTTCTGCCCTGTTGACTGCAGGCTCCTTGAGGGAATATGGCACTCTCTGATCTGCTCACCCGTTTATCCAAAGTGCCCAGCCTCTCGCTGGTACCTGACTAGTGCTCACACATATCTGTTGAATAAATAACGAAACAGAAATACTTTCTTGTCCTTAACAAAAAGGATCAAAGCATATGTTTTCTGAGCTGCTCAAATCTGAAAATATCTTCTTTCTTTTGACATCAAACAAAAACTACCTTGGCTCAGACTAATATTCTAGTGTTCAAACTTTAACTTTAAAAAAACATGTTAAGGGATTTGCAGCATCCCTAGCCCCCCTGCTTTGCAGAGGGTCTTTTTCTCTGTGAATATGCTGCGTGCATGTATTTCTTCACCCTCAAGAAAAGCCATCCTTCAACTGAAAAATTATGTTGATGAAGGCTGAGTTTGGTAGAGTTTGGTAGAGTGTTTGCCTACCATCCAAGGAGCCTTGAGCTCAACCCACACCCTCACACCTCTGGGGTGACGGCATGCTCTTGTATTCCAGTGCTTCCAAGATGGAGGCAGGAGGATCTGATGTTCAAGGTTATCCTTAACAATTCAGCAAGTTCAAGGTCAGTCTTGGCTACCATGAGACCCTGTCTCAAAATATATAGAGAGGATATTTCATTGTCTTTTGCTGACTTTGTAGCAGAGAAATCTCAATCCAGCCTGAATTTGAAACCCTTAGGAATAACCTGTTTTCTGGTCGGACAGCTAGTAAGATTTTTTCCAAGTGTTTTAAGAACAGTTTTGCTAGAATGTCACAGGTATGTTTTCTGCCATGTACTTGTCAAAAACACTCATTTGACCTCAAATTAAAAGTTGGTGTAGCTGAATTTTCTATTAAGTCTTTGGGTATGGCTCCTGATCCTGTTGTCCTAGGTTCATCTTGAATTCCGTCACTATCTACTGATTGGTTTTACACTCTGTCCTTTCCTTCTGTACCTTTCTCTTCCTCTCCTTCTACCTTATGTACCTCTGGGAATGAGTTGATTGAGGTGATATTGTTAAAGTCCAGAGACCATGACTATCTAGGGAGCATGGGGTAAGTCAGCAGCAACTGTGGGTTGACTGAGGTCTCGAACCAGGAAAGTAGATGCTGAGCCAGAAGGAGACATGATGCTGTGGATTGGGTGCAGGGGTTAAGAAAGAGGGGAGGAAACCTGTCTTCTTTTTCCTCCATGCTCAAATTATCCATGGAGCACAGACTGGCTAGGCCCTCCCTCCGACCACTCAGGATACAGAGCAGGAGCAGCAGGGAGGGGACCCCATAACGCAAGGCAGTGGGAACAGCACCCCAACTTTAGTTTGCTGGTGCCCTTGCTTGTTCCTTGTTTTTCTTCATGTCCTTCTGTTGACTCCTCTTAGCCTGTCCGTCTTCGCAGATCCCAGAAGCTCCGTCTTCACTTGGCTCTTGGCTCTTCTTCTAGATCATCTGCGGGGACACGTGTTTCTTCTCTTTTTTTTTGGATGCCATACTTTTTCTCCTTTTTCCTGTCCCC